GGGTCTCACGAAAAACCCTTGGTCTTACGTGAACCCAACCCTATATATATATATATATATATATATATATATATATATATATATCTTCTTAAATTTAAAGATTATTTTGTTCTTTTTTATTTTAGAGGACACTTTATAATAGTTGTTGTAGCAAACTCTTCCTAAATTTTTGAAAATTTTAAGATAACATAGTTATTGAAGATGTTTTTTACTTCTTAAAACTAATATCACAATTACGAGATACTTATAATTTGATCAATGAATAATTTATTTAACTGTTAATTGTTGAAAATTATAAAAGAATAAGAAGATGAACACCAAATAAAGAATTATCTTTATATAATTTAATTATTTAAGTCAATAAATAGGTTAAACCTTTTGTAATCAGACCCACCAACAATCTCAATAGATGTCAATTCACACAGATTGAATCTATCCTTCTCGATAGATTCAACGAAAGAAAAGGGGTAGAAGCAGAGTGTTCACTTAGTGAACGAGAAATTTAAATRCAATACAAAATAGTAAAACCAACCTGGTAAAACTGTTGTAGATTCGGATGAAGAACTGCACGGAAAAACCTGTCCTTAAAGGTTTTATACGACYACTCTTTAAATGCTGTGAGTCTGCTAGTCGCAAAGCCCCAGGATTGAATGCAGTAGAAAATTCGTTTGTGAACAGCAATCACAACGAATGTAGAGAAGGTTTATGTAGCAAACCGTAGAGAGAAATAAGAGAGGGGAACAGAATTTCAGTAAACCATGTGATCAGTCAAGACATACATGAACCAATCGAAATACTCAATAACAAAAAAATAAATATTATTAAAATAAAGATAAAATACGATATTAGATAAAAATAACATAAAATAAATTAACGGCCTACTAATAAATTAAAATAGTTAAAACTTTAGTAATTTATAGAGTAAATTACAAAGATCATCCATGCGGTTAAACAAAGTTTACAGATTGGATGCCTTTTTTCTTATGGAATGAGTACCTATGGTCTTATTTTTGTTATGGATTGAGTATATGACATTAACTTATGTTACAAAAAAATCCGTTAAGCTGTCGCTCATGTGACGAGCATTTTGGTAATTTTAGCTTTGATTAAATATTTTGATTTTATTATACTAGTGTGAATGTTACATGTACATGTTTTTGAAGCATCCTAATTTTTTCTCAAAGATAGAAGATGCTTCATGTTCCTATTGAAGCATCGATGGTTCCCGTTTTAAGTTCATATCGAAGCATCGATGAGTTAATTGAAGATGCATTTTGTTCTAAATCTGAGTTTTAGAGAAGCTTTTGTATTGGACCATCGACACTTCCGCATTTGGGGTTTTCTTTTACAAATATGGTTCGAGATCAGGTTCAAGATTTGGTTACCAGAGAAGGGGGAGGAGATGCAGAAATCAAATGGAGAGGAGACAAGTGATGGGGAAGCAACAACAAAATTAGGGATGCGATGGTGAACAAGTTGTGGATCACCAGTCCATGCTTTTGGCTTATCATCGTCTTTGTTTCTCTTTATCTCAACAGCCATGTATATATATTTAATTTTTAACTTTATATATATATATATATATATATATGTGTGTGTGTGTGTGTGTGTGTGTGAGTGTGTGTGAGCTCATTTAAAAGAGAACTGATTAGTTTGTGGTAACCGTAAGATTCAATGTGAACCACTCGTTTGAGATATTTAAGAATATTTTTTAAATAAGCTAAAAGTATAATATAATAATGCTATTTTTGACAACCAATCAAAATATTTAATTAAATTATTTAGAAGAAAATATTTAATTAAAATTTAGTTACCTAGTATATCAATTATTTAATATGCATCGTATTTTAAATACGTTTGTGAATCAAAGTGTATCAAAATGTATTTTCTTTGTTTTAAGATATATATCATAGTGTGCATTTTCGTTATTTTCGTTGTTTTATAAAGGATATCACATTGTGTATCTTGTATGTATATCTGGGTATCACAGTGAATATCGTTCGTTGGTATCACAGTGTGTATCTTGTGTTAAACATAAGTTTCATCGGCATAAGGTTCGTCGTAGAGGAAAAGATTTGCCACAGAGAGGAAATATGAGAGACAAGAGAGAATATTTATAAAATCTCTAAAATGCCTTTGATTAATATATTAAGCTAAAATTACCAAAATTATTAATATTCTAATTAACATTTGATTTGTGGCTGAGATTGAATCTCACAGTTACCATAAACAAAACGACTCACATTTAATTAGGCCCCTAGAATATATTAGATAGCGGATCAAACTAGAATGCTAATTTAACGGCCGAAAAAAAATGTGTGCGAGCGACTTTTGGCAGCGTTTTCAGGTCGCGGGACAAAGTCACGTGAATTACATGTGATTTGGTACGTGATGTTTATGTAAAACCACATGTGATTCGACCGTTTCTTTACTCTCTTAAATAAGTACCATTATCGTTTGAACCCGACTCATATATATTATTTTGTAACAAGTAACGGGTAATGGATAACAAAAAACCGTTTATCCATACCCTACCCACTAAAATTTCAAGTAAACAAGTAATGATTAAGTGGATAACATATTATTTATCCATACCTTATCCAACTTGAAACATAACCGATAACAAATTTACTCTTAAGCATTGTCAATCTTACTCATAAGCCGCCTTGTATGTAGCGGAAGAGCAACATATATATATATATATATATTTAAAAAAGACAAAAATACTGCTAATTTAAACCAGGTAAATTTGACAAAGTTATGATTAGAAATCTAATTTCATAACGAAAATGGGTTCACATGTATCTAATTCATAACAAATAATTTGAGGGACCTGCCATGATTTTCACATAATGACGAGGGCAATTTTTGTAAATTAACTTTATTCTTTTAGTAATATTTTAATTGAAAGCGACCTTCTAAAATTGAACGTTAAAAATCATGCAGCCTACACACGGAGCATATTTGGACATTTTATCTTTTAAGAGTAATACATGACCTCACATAGTGACAAGGTAATGTAATCCATTCCTGACTTTTTTATTATTTTAACTGAAAGGGACCTGGAAGTTGGAATCTTGAAGACTAGAAGCCACTCCTTTCACACAAAGCCGTCTTTTTTAAGTTCAGACGTTTTTGCCTATTTAACTATACATATTGGCCCTTGGCTATATGAGACTTATAGATTTGGTCCCTTATAACTTTTTTATGGATTGAGTCCCTATTATTAACTTCGTTAAAGTTACGTTATTCTTGTCTTTTACATTTTTTTTTATTTTTTTTTTTAAATTATATCATTGTATTTAATATTATATATATACACACACATATAAAGAGTAATTACACAAGGAACATGCTTGTGATGCTTCCCCTAGATCTAAACCTAGCACCCTCGTTTTTTCGACCAACTACAAACCCAACATCGATCGTTAACTCTGAACCCAACACCACCAGATTGATTTGGTTTTCAGATTCATTGATTTGGTTTACATTTTGTCTGGAAATGCAATTGGAGAAGAAAAGGATAGAGACTACGGCGATAGTTTACCAAGAAGGAAAAACATGTCGGTGAAAATGTTTTCTTAAAAAGGTATATATAAAATGATGAAGCTACCCCTCATTTAACATAATAAACTTAACAACCATTAGTGTTAAGGACTCAATTTATAACCATAATGAAACCAGACGTACCCGATCCATAAAAAAAGTTACTAGGGATCAATCCATAACGACAATTAAACCAGACCTTAAAAACGGGGGATCAGTTTAAAATTTTGATATAACCACAAGGACTAAACATGTAACTTACTCTTTCTTCAATTATCCTCATTTTTTTCACCTAGTACACACACCTTTGCTGCTCTCGACAGTTCACGTTCACACACTGACACACAATACACACTTTTACCACTTTTTGAGTTTTGACCATATTTTTTTCGTTTTCATTTCTATTTTGCCTATTTTATTTTTAAAAAATATAATAGATTGATTTTTTGATTTTTTTTCTTGTTAAAATATATTTTAAATATTTAATTTTTAAATATTATATTCCGGAAGGAATGCAAACCTTTGGAAAAACTTTTTGTAATATAATATTTTGGGGCGTGTAGTTTTCTGTGACCAACAATTAAGGGGCAGTCTATCAAAGGTTCATTAGTATGAGTCATCATCATTACTTAACTTATCAGGTAACATTTTCGATCATTAAAATGGAC